AAGTGGTAGAGCGCTAGCCTTGAGCTGAAGAGCTGAGGGACAGCGCCCAGACCCAGAGTTCAGGCCCCACGACTGGACCCAAAAAAAAAAAAGATATCCACTGAGCCTGCCTGGCACCCGTGGCTCACATGTGTAATCCTAGCTACTCAAGAGGCTGAGATCTGAGGATCACGGTTTGAAGCCAGTCCAGGCAGGAAACTCAGTGAGATTATCTCCAATAAAATACTCAAAAAAGCTAGAAGTGGCACTGTGGCTCAAGTGGCAGAGCACTTGCCTTGAGCAAAAGAAGCTCAGGGATAGCATCCAGGCCCAGAATTCAAGGCCCAGGTCCAGCAAATAAATAAATATATGTACATATACTGTATATATATATATATATATATCCACTCAACTTAGCACCCTAATATCATATGTAATGTGAAAGAAATAACTTTTATTCAAATGATGTGATTCAAATTACATTCCTGGTTGGACTTTTTTTTTTTTTTTGCTATTAAAAAGAAAAGAAAAAAAATGCTGGTGGCTCACACCTGTCATCCTAGCTACTCAGGAAGCTAAGATCTGAGAATCACAGTTCAAAGCCAGCCCAGGCAGGAAAGTCTGTGAGTCTCTTATCTCTAATTAAGCACCAGAAAACCAGTGGCTCAAGTGGTAGAGCGCTCACCTTGAGCTGAAAAGCTCAGGGACAGCGCTCAAGCCCAGAGTTCAAGCCCCATGACTGACAAAAAAAAAAAAAAGAGTTGTGGCTAGATGCTGGTGGCTCAAGCCTGTAATTCTAGCTATTTAGGAGGGTGAGATCTGATAATCATAGGTTTAAAGCCAGCTTGGACGAAGAAAGTCAGTGATACTCTTAGCTCCAGTTAACCAGAGTTGTGGCTCAAAGTGGTACAGCACTAGTCTTGAGCACAAAAGCCCAGGGACAGCACCAGGCCCTGCATTCAAGGCCCATAACTGACCAAAAAAAAAGTGTTGTTTGCATTATTTCTCTGGCCTTTCAACTCTAAAATTATATGATTATGTCTCAAATTTGTGATACAGAATATTATGAAAGGGTATGTGTGTATAGAAACAGATCATAAGCCAAATCATCTAAAGTCCCACTCCAGACAGCTTGCCAGATAACATCCTCCATGGGCTTCCTTTTTTACCACATCCTGTGCATAAGTCCTTAGGATGTAGCCTGTTGTTTTCACAATACAATATATTGTACTGGACACTTTCCCTATTATTTTGGACACCAAATAAACTATGTCTTTTTTTTTTTTGCTAATCCTGGGACTTGAACTCAGGGCCTGGCCACTGTCCCTGAGCTTATTTTGCTCAAGGCTAGTACTCTACCACTTAAGTCACAGTGCCACTTCCAGCTTTTTCTGTTTATATGATTCTGAGGAATCAAACCCAGGACTTCATGCATGCTAGGCAAACACTCTACCACTCAGCCACATTCCCAGTTCAAATAATGTATTTTTATACACATTTATACTACTTGAGCCACAGTTCCATTTCCACCTTTTGCTGGTTACTTGATCCTAAATCTCCTGAATACTCAGCTTTCTTTGTGTGTGTATGTGTGTGTGTGTGTGTGTGTGTGTTTCACTTTGAACTCTTAGGCTCAAGTGATCTTCCTGCTTCAGCCTTCTGAGTATCAGGAATAATTAATAAATACCACCATGCCTGTCCTTTTTTTTTTCAGGGGGGGGGCGGTGTGCCACCAGTCCTGGGGCTTGAACTCTGGGCCTGGGCACTGTCCCTGAGCTCCTTCCACTCAAGGCTAGTGCTCTACCACTTGAGCCACATCTGTTTTTTTTCAGTAGGTTATTGGAGATAAGCATCTCACCAGGTTGACTGATTTGGAACCATGGTCCTCAGATCTCAGCCTCTTATGGCATGAACCACCAGTGCCCAGCATTGCCTGGCTTTTTTTTTTTTTTTGTTAGTCGTGGGGTTTGAACTCTGGGGCTAGGCCCTGACCCTCAGCTCTACAGCTCAAGGTGAGCACTCTACCACTTGAGCCACATGCCACTTCCCTTTTTCTGAGTGGTTTATTGGAGATAAGAGTCTCCTGGCCTTTCTTGCCCTGGCTGGCTTTGAACTGTGATCTTCAGATCTCAGCCTCCTGAGTAGCTAGGATTATAGGCGTGAGCCACTGGTGCCCTTCCTTTGCCTGGCTTTTAAAACTGTTTTGCCACTCCTGGTTCCTCAAAGGCATTTTTTTTTGGGGGGGGGGTCCGATCGTGGGGCCTGAACTCTGGGTCTGGGTGCTGTCCCTAAGCTCTTCAGTTCAAGGCTGGGGCTCTACCACTTGAGCCACAGCGCCACTTCCGGCTTTTTTCTTTTTGCTTATGTGGTGCTGAGGAATCGAACCCAGGGCCTCATGCATGCAAGGCAAGCGCTCTACCACTGAGCCACCTTCCCAGCCCCTCTCACTTATTTCTCAGTGTGTTTATTTCATTCACAACAGCACTGTGAATTTAGGATTAGACTCACTTTCTACGTTTTTTTTTAAAGGCTTAGAGAAAATGCATAAATGCACAAAGGTCAGGAGCCAGAATTCAATCCCAAACTTGACTCTAAAATTTGTTTTCGTCTTTCCTCCTGCTCAGTTGCTTATATGAAAATATCTGGTTTAAAATGTCGTTTAAAAATTATTATGAGGGCTGGGAAGGTGGCTCAGTGGTAGTGCTTGCCTTGCATGCATGAGACCCTGGGTTTGATTCCTCCATACCACATAAGCAGAAAAAGCCGGAAGAGGCCCTGTGTCTCAAGTGGTAGAGCGCTAGCCTGGAGCTGAAAAACTCAGGGACAGCACCCAGCCCAGGGTTCAGGCAACAACAACAAAAAGAAAAGATTTTAGGGGGAGGATGGGAAGGGGAAACAAAGGAGGAAGCTATACTGCTCGATAAGAAATGTGCTCATTTTCTTGCCCATGTAATTGTAACCCCTCTGTACAATATTTTCACAATTAAAAAAAAGATTTTAAAAAAATTACTATGAAAGAGGTTCTTATAACATTGATTTTGCTGACTAAGAAAGGCTCTATGAATCAAACCTACTAAGTAAGGAAATAAGGAATTCGGTGCTGGATTGTATAGAAGATCCCTTCAACTAAGTAGCTTACAAAATTCCCTGCATAGCTTTTTGTAGTAAAAATCCAAAAATTGAGCTTTGGCTTTTATCTAGCTAAGTTCCAGAAGATGTTCAAAGAGACATAAAAGGAATTTGTTTGGGTTGTATCTGACATGAGTAATAAGTAGTCACAGTAAGATTATTTATCAGGCAGCCTGAATATAATACTTCATGATTAATATGGGTTGATTGCTCTTGAGTACAAGTCTTAGCTATGAATATATTTTAGGAAGCTGTCTCTCCCGGGGTACTCTCTAAAGCTTGATCCCAAAAGCCACATCCTACATCTGTGGCATCAGTCCCAACAGTCTTTGACTGCATAAAACAACCTTACCAAATGAAAGAGGATTTGTATTACCAATTCCAGGAAATATTTAACCCACACTAATAATAACAATAGGTCCCCATATAAGAATAGTAATACAAATGTATCTTTAACATAATAAATCCAATGATCATATACCTGTGGGTCTTTTTCATGCAGATGTGACAGTGGTTTATCAAAATGGGTTACCAGTGATATCTGTGCGGCTACCATCTCGGCGTGAACGTTGCCAATTCACTCTCAAACCTATCTCTGACTCTGTTGGTGTATTTTTACGACAACTGCAGGAAGAGGATCGAGGAATTGACAGAGTGGCAATCTATTCTCCAGGTACATTAGTCACCCTCATTTTTAATTCTCACTTCTCATTTCCCCCCCAAACCATTTCTAGACATATGAAATGCTCATTGCAAAAAGCTATCATCCTGTTAAGTTATGGCACTTTTTTGACCTAGCAAGCACAAGAGAGTAGTACAAGAGGAGTGTGATTCTCCATCCCCACCCTCCTATGAGTCTCAGGATATATCTGCTCAGTTTTAGTAAATGTCTGTGCTCAGAGAGTCCCATTCCCCAGCAACTCACAGATCATGCCAGGGCAAGGCCAAGTAGACAATCACATTTTATGTTACTGAGACCTTCTGTCATTACCTTAGTGCAGAATAAACTTTTCCAATAGTTGAGCCTTTGTCTCCAGAGATATAAAATACTAGAGTTTCTCTTCTTATGTTTATCTTATGTTTATGATCTTATGATCTTATGTTTATCACATAAATGTGTATCAAAATAGAATATTTCATTGAAAAACATAAAACACAGCACTAAAACATTCCTATTTGATTGAACATCTGTTTATTTTTAAGTGCCTTAATTTTTTTCCCTTTTACTTGGAAATTTTTCAAACTTACATAGATATGAAAGACGGCTGCAGCAAGCACTCATTTATCCTTTACCTGGATTTACCATTATTAACAGTTAACCACATTTCTGTATGTTAGTTTTTATTTCTAAGCTTTAAGTACCCTGACCTCTCCAAGTAGTACCATTAGTAAACCAACTTGGTATCCTTTGCTCATCCTAGTATCCGTCCTTACTGAATTAATAATCGGTGACTATGCTAGAAAGCTTTGTGCATTAGAAGGCACTGGGGTTCCATCATAAATGATTGTAAGAAGTCCATATGGCTCTACAAGTCGCAGCTGATGCCTGTAGATGTATGGGTAGTTACTTCACTTGCTCGTGCAGTTTTAGGAAAAGCTTCTGGTTATATCTTCAGGTTTGGCCTAAACACAAAGGTATCAGATGTAAACTTTATTTAGCACAGAACAGAGGATGAGGAAAACATCAGAACATAAAAAAGAAGAGTTTTTTTTTAAAAAAAAGGAAGAGGTAATTTTTTAAATGTGTGTTGACAGTTCACTTTTCCTGCCCATTTATGAGTATAGACTTGTGACCAGTTTCATTTAAAATGTTCACAGATGGCGTTCGTGTTGCTGCCTCCACGGGGATAGATCTCCTCCTCCTCGATGACTTTAAGCTGGTCATTAACGACATAACATATCATGTACGGCCCCCAAAAAGAGGTAAAAAAAAAAGTAATCTTGATAAAGTCACACAGTTTTTGGAGAGCACCAAAAGCTTTATATATAATTAGGCTCTGTTAGACTAGTTAGACTACCTGGATATCTACCTGGATACAGTAGTGCTTGCTTATCCAGCAGTGTCTCTGTTGAAACTATGAACGTCCTGCCTAACTGACGTTTCTTCCCTCCATACAGTCTTTTCATCAACATTAAAATAACACAGGAAAATCTTTTTAAAATAAATTATAGGCTTTTCTGTTCTCTTAAACACTGATAATTTACCTTGGGGGGTGGGGGGGTCAAAAGGATGATGACAGAAATTCAACATCCTGAAAGTCAGTTATTGTACAGGTATTATTTGGCTTGCAGTGGTGTTCATAGATCATTATAAACAGAAAATACTGTGACCAGGATATCCATTAAATACACCTAACCTACTGAATAGCACAGCTTAGTCTAGTCTACTTGAAATGTGCCCAGGCTGTAAGTACATTATATGATTAGACAAAATTACCTAAACAAAGCATCCTTTATAATGAAATATTGACTGTTTCATATACACACATAGAGGCATACATTAGCATGAGGAATGCAGAAACACAAAATACAGTCAGAACTTCTAACAGTACTGTGTGCTGCAGAATATTGGTTGTTTATCCGTAAGATTGCAGGGCTGGCTGGGAGCTGCGGCTCACTGCTGATGCCAGTGGTACAGGAGGATTGTGCTATGAATTCCTAGCCTAGGAGCAGATCACACTCAAGATTAGAATTCCTTTTGCTTTCTTACCACTGTAAAATCACAATCTGAAGCTGGGGACCATCTATATAGTAATCCTTAGAAACTTTTGATGCTCTTAGGTAAAAAAAAATGAGTTCTCGCCTCAGGTTCAAATTTTAAGAGATGCCAAAAAATTCAGTAACTAAGATGAATGAATACTTTAATGTACTATTGCTTAAAAACAAGATTAAGGCAAAAATACATGATGAGAAAAATATTTAAAAATTTCAATAGACAGTACTGCTGATTTTTCTTTTCATCCCAGGTCCAGTTTGGCTCTGTCAAGTATTGATGCTCAGTAGCCCTCTAAAAGAGCTTGAATTGTGTCTCAATAAATTGTTTTTCTCTTTGCCTTTGTTATTTATTGTCATTTACTGCTACTGTGAATTACCCTCCACCACTACTAATCTCTCCATCTGCCTCCTAGGAGATCTCTTCAATCCTGCTTTTAGGAATTCATCTAGCGGGGAGGGCACTAGGGCTCATACCTATAATACTATCAACTCAGGCAGCTGAGATTTGAGGATTGTGGTTTGAAGCCAGCCCCAGGCAGAAAAGTCTATGAGATTCTTATCTCCAGTCAACCACCAAAAGCCAGAAGTGAAAGTGTGTTTGAAGTGGCAGAGCATTTGCCTTAAGCAAAAAAGCCAAGCAAGAGTGCAAGGCTCTGAGTTCAAGCCCCAGTTACTGGCACACACATACACATACATACATACACACACACACACTACTCACACACACACACATAAAATCAGTTGTTTGAAATGCTTAAATAAGGATACAGGTTGACCCATTGTAACAATGAGATGTCCAAGAACAGTATGTTGAAAATGAACTTTACAATTTCTGTGGGGGGGGGGGTAAGAGGGGGAGGAGGAAGTAGAGGTGGGGAGATAGGACGGGAAGGGAGGGTAGGAGAAAAACAAAGGAGAAGGTAACATTGCTTGATAGGAAATGTACTCCTTACCCTACTCATGTAACTGTAACCCCTGTACAGTATTTTTATAATAAAAATATATATGGAAAAACAAAAAAAAATCAGTTGTTTGAAGAACCCCCATACTGATTATCCTAATGCTGGACTAAGTTACCTTTTCCTTCATGAAGTTGAGGGGTTCCTTTACCCCTGCATCCTTAACAAGTTATTTTTTTTTCTTGGTGATAGACATTCTATCTTCTTCAACATTTAACATGTAGTAAGGAAAATCTTTTGGCAAGGAAAATCTTCTTTATATAAAGTGCATATTGTTTGCATTGGATTTTCTTCCTGACACTGCTTGAGAAAGATATCGCTAGCATCAAGGCACTACCAGTCTTTTCTGCCAAGTACAGTAAAAGAGCCATTTGGGTTTCTGCATTTACAAGAGATGCACTCTTTGCCCATGAGTAAGCAGGTTCCTCCTGCACTGTAGCTCTTTGCCGCAAAACTAAATGGAGGAAAGGAATAGAAGGCAGCACACAATCTCTGGGTATCAGATAATGAGGAATGACACTAGGGCTGTATATGAACCTGGGGCAGCTGGGACAAATCTACTTTGTCTAATAAAAGGTAAAATAAGTAGTTCATGAAGAATAACTTTCCCAGGATAGCTTTAATTTTTGGGGGGAGGGGGCAGGGTCCGGTCATGGGGCCTGAACTCTGGGCCTGGGCGCTGCCCCTCAGCTCTTCAGCTCAAGGCTAGTGCTCTACCACTTGAGCCACAGCGCCATTTCTGGCTTTGTTTTTCTTTTTGCTTATGTGGTGCTGAGGAATCGAACCCAGGGCCTCATGCATGCAAGGCCACTGAGCCACCTTCTCAGCCCAGCTTTAATTTTTTTGACACACAATGTTCTCTTCTTTCCTTAACCACACTTTCATTTCTCTTATGTGTTCTTTTCCCTGTGTGAGGGAACTTTGGAACTAATGAAACTAAAAGTACTCTATTAATGTGTGTCAATTATAGTTTTACACACACACACACGCACACACACATGCACACACACCAGGCACTGAGGATAGAAGGGTCATTCATGTTGGGTTTATTTTAGCCACATTCCATGTTTATGTGGGATTGGCATCCTGTAAGGTACTGTGGCTGGGGTACTGTACTGAGCCTGTGGCTCATTAAGCGTTGGCAGCCCTGTACCTAATTCTTAAGTTGACCCATGAAGACATGTATCCCAAATTGGAAGAAATGGATGTGTTGTAACAGTAAGACTAATTGTAACCTCCATTGCATTCTTTTAGTAGCCATAGGTATACATAGCTGGGTTCCTCTCTAACTGCTCTGAGATGAGAGGAGTGACTATTTTCTCAAGTAGGTGATTTCATAATTTAACCTAAATGTGTAATGGAGGGAGGAGTTGAGAAAGAAGCACAAAAAGCCTTTCATCCCAGTTCATGTTGCAGTAACTATATAGATATCTAATGTTATATATAACATTAACTATGTAGATAATACTCTATTATCACCAAAGGATACCTTTTTTCCAATGCCAGTCCTGAGGCCTGAACTCAGGGTCTGGATGCTGTCCCAGGGCTTTTTTTGGTCAAGGTTAGTACTCACGTGCCAACTGCCAACCTGTGGCATAAGTGTAAGCCACAGCTCTACTTCCAGCTTTTTGGTGGTTAATTGAAGATAAGAAAGAATCTCAGCCATGAGTCTGTAGCTCTCATCTGTAATCCTAGTTACTCAGGAGGCTGAGATCTGAGGATCATGGTTCAAAGCCAGCCCAGGCAGGGAAGTTCATGAGACTCTTACCTCCAATTAAGTACTAAAAAGGTGTAAATGGCACTAAGACTCAAAGTAGTAGAGCATTAGCCTCTAGTACAAAAGTTCAGGGACTGCACTTAGGCCCTGTGTTTAAGCACCAGGACTAGCGCACACACACACACACACACACACACAAAGTTTCATGGACTTTCCTACACACACACACACACACACACACACACAAAGTTTCATGGACTTTCCTACCCTGGCTGACTTCAAACTATGATGCTCAGGTCTCAGCCTTCTAAATAAGCTAGGATTACAGGAGTGAGCCACCAGCTGGAGGATATTCTTTTGTATGTACTAAAGAGAACTATTTGATGGTACCTGTTTCCTATTTTTGCAGAGATAATTGGAGATGTTGCCTCTCTTAATGAAATGATTTGAAAACAGATTAAATGGGCAAACCAGACAACAACAATAATAATTGCACTATTAGGGATGCAAATAGTCCATATCCTTCTTGAATCATGTTTGTGGTTGTGAAATTTTCACCACCCAGTATGTTTGTATGTCTTACGATACTGAGACGTGAACTGAAGGCTTTGTGCTTACCAGGCATGTACTCTATCACTTGAACCATGCCCAATTCTTTTGCTTTTAGTTTGTTTTTCAGATAAGGTCTCATTACTAACTTTGCCCAGATGCCTCAAACCCCAATCCTCCCAGTCTCTTCCCAAGTAGCTGAGATTACAAGAGAAACTACTGTACCTGGCTTTCCCCTGCCTATATGCACCTTAATAATCCTGTAATTGATGGCATCTATAAAAACATTAGTAAACATCTAATTCCTTTTTAGTGAGGCATAAGTAATCATCAGATTTATTTTCCTTCTTCCTTTAACTTCATCTCCACATATGTAGTCAGGTTTCTTTAGGACCATTGGTTCAAGATTATTGTTCTTCAGTCTGATGATACCTTGTAACTATATTCTCTTGTGAAGAAAAATTGACAAAGCATAAAAACTACCAGGGCTCTCTTGATACATAATCAGAGAGAAACTGTTATCCAGCAATGTCTGAAATTACAATCTGTGAGATCTCTTGTGATTTGTCTCTTTCTATTTTTGTTTCTGTTAGAAGGTATTGTAATTGCACAGTATTTTGTTATTACTCAGAATAGATAATACATTCATAAGGTTCAATTCCAAAAGTCTAAAGAAATTTTGCATAAAAATCATCTTCTTATCCCTGTTCCCCAGATACCCTTTTCTCTTCTGTATCAGCAAACTGTCCTTAGTTTCTTACATCTCCACCAGGATAGTCTGTGTATTCATAAGCAAATGTGAATACATCAATTTTCTATTTATGCAAATAGTTCATGTCATAAATACTGTTTGTATTATTTAGGGTTTGTTTTGGGAAAACCAACCTCATAACTATTATGGAATAAAAGATTACTTGTAGGAAGAAGACCAGAGGAAGAAGTAGATGAAGCAGAAAGGAATGCTGGGAGGATCAAAGAGAAGTAATTTTGAAGCAGAAACACAGAGCACAAATCAGAGTTCACCAGGGAATCTGGAAGACTTGCACACCCATTACTTATGCTAGGACTGTATATTTCACTTGCAGATAAATTCTTCAGTCTTGTCAGATAGAACTTTCTGGTTCAAAACCCTGGGTTCAACCCAAGCACCAAAGAAAAACTTTCTAGGATGCTAAAGATGTTCTATTTATGCATTGTCTGGTATAGTAGCTATTTACCACATATGGATGTTGAGCACTGAAATAGAGCTAGTGTCACTGAAGAAGTGAATTTATAATTTTGTCTTTATTTTACATTTCAATGGTGCATGAGAGGTTGCAAAAATGTTAAGTCAAAGAACAAAAAATTAGGAAAGGAATTCTAAGTGATCTTGTCTACAGCATGGTGACTCTATTTAATAACAATGTATTGTAGTCTTAGTAATTGCTAAGACAATAGACTTGTGTTCTCATCACAGAAACATGAGTGTCTGAGGCAATCCATTTAGCTCCATTTAGCTAGTCCATACATTGTGCACTTCACATGTTTATGATAAATATATACAATTTTTGTCAATTTAATATAATTAGTAAAAAAATAAATAGCAAATATCCATAGTGGACAGGAGATCTTCAGGAGGTTCATAGGCCTAGGTTCTCTGTTTGCCAACAGAAGTAATAGAGAAAGAGCCGGACCCAGGGCGCAGGAGGGCAGGCGTGGCTGGTATCTGCAGGCACCTCTGTATAGGCCTCCCTACCAGCCTGCAGAGAATAAGCCTCTGGGTCACATCTGCTTTCAAAATCTCATCTGAGTTCTTCTTTTGGCTATCCCTAACTCAGAACAGTAAAGGAAAGGATAATCTGTGAAGCCTGATGCCAGTTATACAGATTGAAAAGGCATAGAAATTACTAAATGTCTAGTAATTTTTCTTACCTGATAGTCAATCTTGAGGATCTTGACACAGAAAGTATACAATAAAAGGTAATTGTGTGTGCACGTGCCAGTGACATTACTAGGGCTTGAACTCAGGACTTGGCTACTGTTCCTGAGCTTTTTGGCTCAAGGCTGGCATTCTGCCATTTGAGCCATAGCTCCTCTGGGTTTTTAAAAGTCTCACAGACTTTCCTGCCTGGCTGCCTGCAAACCGTGATCCTCAGATCTCTGTCTTTTGAGTAGGTAGGAGTGCGGGCCAGAGCCACCAGTGATTGGCAGAGTGCTGGTTCTTCATCTTGTAAATGAAGAGTTGGTAACTCTATGCAGGTGTGAACTGCAGCTCTGTTACCAAGAATGCCCTGCTGATATAACAGACTTCTATCACTGAGTTCTTTTACCCATTCCTATTAACTCAGCACCTGTGCTGGAGTGTCTGTGTTTTGTGGTAGGTGCTAGGTCTCATTTAAAACAGCTGTCTCCAATCCAGTTTGCCAGCCTTATGCAAATTTTTCCATTGATTGAATTTCTATGATAAATACACTAAAGGACATCCTTGAAGTATACTGAAATATGTTTATGCTCACTGGGGTTTATTTTTATTCAAAAGAGGGCTGACCTATGCCATATGAAACAAATGTCACATCTAAAACTAGTAAGATTATAAAACAAAAGCTCTATATCTGGTGCTTTTTTTCTTAATTCAACAGCCAACAGTAAGTTTTTTTTATTAGATTCTTAAAACATAATTTTTAGACTTCTGGAAACATATGCCACTTACAGTAAGAGCTATTGAATCAAAGAACTTAATCTTTTAACGTTTTCCTGTAGAACATGATACTGGGGTCCCCATGGCTGGACTCTGCCTTTCCTCAGCAGGAATTTAAAGTTGTTGTGCTGGGAAAGGGATGCATGGAGATTAAGATTATCACAGGGATGTTATTTTTATTTATGCCTTTGTATTTGCAAATTTAAAATTCTGCATTTTTTCCTTCTGGAGTTTCTAAAGGTAAAAACCTAAAATGGCAGGACCACAGATAGATTATAGACCAACATTTTAATAAGCACCATAATCAGGTTGATTTTAAACCTCTCTACTATATTTTTTTACATTTTACATCTTATTTTTATTGACACCAGAGCTTGAACATACATTTTTATTATCTTTATGTAGTTATACAAAGGGATTACTAGTCACATGTCAGTTTATGAGTACAATGCATCTTGATCATTATCACCCCTTTCTACAGCCACCCTAAATGCATCCATGTTTCTCCTAATTTAACATTTGCTTTCACTTTTTATTCTGATTTAATGGTTTTTATCTTTCAGTTCTGAGGATTAGAGCTAGGGCTTCATAGTGCTAGACAAGCATTGAACTGATGAGCTGCGTGCATCCCAACCCTGGAGATTATTTAAATCATTTTTCTTAATGTTTCCCTTAAACAGCCCCATTTGTAGCAACTATCCTTCCAATAATACATCAGTAACAATTGTTTCCAAGCTCTGGTTTCCATAATGTGAATTTCCTTTCTAGATTTACAGTTTTATTCTGAAGGTGGGAGTGATCCAGTAGGTGGGCCTGCCTGGTCTTCTGTAGTCGCATCCTCCAGGAAGTTTCTAAAAAGTGTTACCCTTTCTTTCAGACCTCTTAAGCCATGAAAATGCAGCAACGCTGAACGATGTGAAGACACTGGTCCAGCAACTCTATACCACGCTGTGCATCGAGCAGCACCAGTTAAACAAGGAAAGGGAGCTTATTGAGAGACTAGAGGTCCTCAAAGAGCAGCTTGCTCCCCTGGAGAAGGTGAAAATCCTCAAACTTTTCTCCTCACCTGTGTTTTTTTCCAGAACACATGTTCTTTTTTTATTGTTGGTGGTCATGGGACTTGAACTCTGGGCCTGGGCACCATCCCTGAGCTCTTTTTTGCTCAAGGCTAGCATTCTACTACTGTGAGCCATAGCGCCACTTCCAGTTTTCTAGTGGTTAATTGGAGATAAAACTCTCACAAATTTTCCTGCCTGGGCTGGCTTCAGATCGTGATCCTCAGCTCTCAGCTTCCTGAGTAGCTAGGATTACAGGTGTGAGCCACAGCACCCAGCCACATGTGTTCTTATAATTTTTATATAATTGAATCATGTCAGTCAAATTAGCCCACTAGTTTATAAGACTGATAATTAAATGTTCAATTAAAAGGGACTTAAAGGGAATTGTTTGGCCTAGCACTGCTGGCTCACACTTGTAATCCTAGCGACTTGGAAGGCTGAAAATGGGAGGATCATAGTTCAAGACCAGCACAAGTAAGTTTATAAGACCCCCTTCTCAACCCATAAGCTGGCCGTGGATGGTGGTACACACGCCTTTTATCCTAACTTAATAGGAGACTGAGATTAGGAAGGTCACAGTTCCAGGCCAGCCCTAGGCAGAAAGGCTACAAGACTCTTAAGACTCCATCTAGACAGAAGAAGCTAGCACGTCATCCTAGCTAACACAGGAAGTTGTGGCTGAAGTTGTGGCTTTAATAAGAATACCTGCCTACTAAACATGAAAGCCTGACTTAAAACCCCTATACCAAAAAAACAATCTGGAGCCTTGATAATAGACTGAAAGCTCCAAGATACAAATCTACCACTCTCAACCAATTTTACCGCCTGAAAGACAAAAATTGGAGCTGGGTGCCAGTGACTCACACCTGTAATCCTAGCTATTCAGGAGGCTGAAACCAAAGCCTTCCAGCCCAGGCTGGAAAGTCCATGAGACTCTTACCTCCAATTAACCAGCAAAAAGCCAGAAGTGAGCAGTAGCTCAAGTTGTAGAGTACCAGCCCTGAACAAGAAAAGCTAAAAGACAGCACCCAGTACTTGAGTTCAGGTGACCAGCACACACACACAAAGACTGGAATTATTGCTGGTGAGAAAAGGTTTTCTTTGTAGTAGATAATGATGTTAGCCAAGTGAAGAGTACATATTACTTGGAATACAATAAAGCTACTAAAAATATATTACTTGGAATACCATAAAGCTGTTAAAAAGCTGTTAAAATGTAATTTACCATAGATTCATGATACATTATGGAAAATGAATTCTGAAACAGTGTATATACTATGATTCAATTTTGAATGCATTCTTCATATAATATGTATTCATGTATATGCAAACATAAAATACATACACACAGAAGGAATATATTCTGAAATGAGCAGTCACTTGTGATTGATTTTCCTTCCTTACACTTTTTAGAATGTAGTATAGTGAGCATATGTTTCCCTTAATTTTTTATGATGATACAAAGTACAGTCATGGTTTACTTAATGATGGGATATATTGTGAGAAATGTGTCTCAGGATTGCATTGTGAGAACACCATAGAATACATTTACACAAAGGTTTGTGTAAATGTAGCACAAACCTAGTGGTTTGTGTAAATGTCATAGTCAGGAGATGCAGCAAACCTTAATTGATGGCAGTAAACTTTTTTTTTTGGGGGGGAGGCAGTTGTGGGGCTTGAACTCTGGGCCTGGGCGCTGTACCTCAGCTCTTCAGCTCAAGGCTAGTGCTCTACCACTTGAGCCACAACACCACTTCCAGCTTTTTTCTTTTTGCTTATGTGGTGCTGAGGAATCGAACCC